CCGGGTTTACCCTGGGGGCCAGCTGAGACCAGATGAGTAGGAGGAGGACGAGGAGGACGAGGAGGAGAAGAAGAAGGAGGAGGAGGAGGAGGAGGAGGAGGGAGGAGGGAGGAGGGAGGAAGGAAGAGGGGGAGGGGAGGAGGAGGAGGAGGAGGAGGATGTGCGCAGCCCCCGAGTCACTGCCCAAGGTGGAAGGGTACAGGGGCATGACCATAAGCGTTCGGATCTCCGCGCGGATGTCTTGCATCTGCGCTGGGTCCTCTGGCGCCGCCGCCTCCGCAAGCTTATGCCTATGCATTTTATTCGTCAAGAGGCTGGAGGGCCCAGAATCGAATCGACAAGTCGGATCGGTGATCAAAACGAATCGGATCGGCGGAAATCGGCAGCCAGGTAGGAAGAAGTCGAATCGGAGGAACTCGACAGGCTAGTAAGGCCCCCATGAGAAACAGAAACCCACATCGGATTCCGACATCGATTCGAATCCGAACCGGGATCGATCGCCATCGAGTCGAGTCGAGTCGGAGAGGCCGAAAGGAGCCCGGCAAAATGCGGCCTCTGCTTCAGGCGGTCGATAAGCTTCCACGCGATTGCCGGGTCCTCGGTGCCCCCGTCGATCTCGGTGCCGCCGATGCCAGGGAGCATCGCCCTCTGGGCCAGCGCGCCCCTTCCGCCGCGTCGCGCCCCAAGCCTCGCAGCGGAAGGGGGCAGGCGGAGGAGGAGGATGAGTAGAAGGAGGACGAGGAGGACGAGGAGGAGAAGAAGAAGGAGGAGGAGGAGGAGGAGGAGGAGGAGGGAGGAGGGAGGAGGGAGGAAGGAGGAGGGGGAGGGGAGGAGGATGAGGAGGAGGAGGCGGGGGAAGGGAAGAGGAGAGGAGGAGAAGGAGAAGAAGAAGAATGCGGGACCCGCGCCCCGGACCCATCACACAGGTGCAGGAGGAAGGAGAGGAGGAATGAGGAGGCGAGTCGTAAGGAAAGCCCCGGGGCACATGTCGCCGGAGGAGTAGGGAGAAGGGGCGTAAAGTAGGATAGATGAAGGAGAAGAAGGGGAGGAAGAAGGAGGAGAATGAAGAGAGGAGAGAAGGAGGGAGGACGGACGGAGCGGACGGAGGGAGGAATGAAGAGGAGGAGGCGGGGGAGGTCGGAGGGAGTTCAGGCGGAGCGGGTAATAAGGAGGAGGAGGAGGAGGAAGAGGAGGAGGAGGACGACCAGAGTAGCACACAAGATGCACCGACGATGCTGCAACACGCCTGCCCGTCCCACGCCCCCTCCTCGCCCATCCCGGGAAGTAGTCTTGCCTCGTGCGGGAGGCACCCCCCTGGAGTGACCGGCGCCCTCCCTGCGCCTGCCGAGGCAGGCGATGCCCCGTTCTGTCAAGGATGCGCGCTCCATCCCTCGAGCTACAGACAGATCGCAGAGGGGGGTCGGAGGGTCACGTGGCAGGAAGTAGCCAGGCCCGTGCTCTGCAAGAGCATGCCCTGCCATCGGTGGAGGTGTGGCACACTCTCGGACTTCTGGTCACTCGACTCGCGGAGGTCTCGAGCGACAAACCCATCTTGAAGAGGAACCGCCATCTACACGTGAAACGGTTGCACAACTTCTAGCATGTAGTAGCGATACGTAATACTACAGCAAGAAGAGGCAACCCATTTGACGCACGAAACACCCTCCATCCCTCTAACTGGTTGACATTTCTATGGCGAGTGCGCGTAATTCCAATGCGAGACTCATTTTGGAAACAAGCCGCCCTCCATCCGTGTAACTGTTAGGCATTTCTAAGATGACAATGCGCGGCGTCAACGCGGAAACCCCATTTTGAAAACCAGCTGACCTCCATCGACGTATCTTCTTGATACTTGCTGAAAGCGAGTGTGCGCGGAACCAGAGCGAGAACCCGATTCTGAAAACCAGCCGCCCTCCATTCGATTAACTGTTGCAAGTTTGAAGCTTTAATCTTGCACCCCCGCTGTCCGTGCGGGAGGACGTGGCCCCTCCCCCACCTCGCTCCAGACCGCCTCGGGTCATGAACAAGACTGGGACTGGAAATTGTTGTGCACTTCCTGGCCTCTGGGAGCCCTCGCCAGGCCTCGGGACCGGCAACAAACCGACTCAGGAAGAGAAGCCCATCCCCGGGGGAGCGGGTCGAGACCTCTGGGGGCCGATGCGGTGCAACAGAATCAGGGCGTCGGGGCTCTGGGCCCGTCGAGAAGGCCCACCGCAATCCCGTGGGGAGACCAGAAAGTACCGACACCGCAACTCCCCGGACCTCTCCTGGCGTGCGCTCTGACTAAAATTTCAAGCGAATTCAGCGGTGGCGACGAGGGCCTCCCAGGAGGCCCCCAAAAAGGGGAGAACGAGGGAAGGGTGGAGGTATGGGTACCCTTCCCTCCTCTAATCCCAGTCCCTGGCCGACGACATCCTCGCCGCCAGCCCACCCTGGCGGCCCATGTGTGGGAAGGCGATGTTTTTTGCAACAGCGCCGGCCGCCTGCGCGTGGCCAAGCGGTGGCCGCGTCTTCCTCCTCCTCCTCCTCCTCCTCCTCCTCCTCCTCCCCCTCCTCCTCCTCCTCCTCCCCGTCCTCCTCCTCCTCCTCCTCCTCCTCCTCCTCCTCCTCCTACCCTCCTCCTCCCCTTCCTACCTCCTCCTCCTCCTCCTCCTCTCCCCTCCTCCTCCTCCTCCTCCTCCTCCTCCTCCTCTCCTCCTCCTCCCTCCTCCTCCCCTTTCCTCCCCTTCCTCCCCCTCGCCCCTCCTCCTCCTCCTCCTCCTCCTCCTCGTCTCCTCCTCCTCCTCCTCCTTCCTCCTCCTCCTCCTCCTCCTCCTCCTCCTCCCCCTCCCCCTCCACCTCACCTTCCTCCTCCTCTCCCCCCTCCTCCTCCTCCTCAAGCCTGGGGGGTAGTTCGCTCTCTTTCATTGACACCGTCACGTTGCTATTCCTATTCCTATTCCTTCCTCTCCTCCTCCCCTTCCTCTCCTCCTCTTCCTCCACCTCCTCCTCCTCCTCTCCTCCTCCCCCACCTTCTCCTTTTCCTCCTCCTCCTCCTCCTCCTCCTCCTATTCTTCTTATTCTTCTTATTATTATTCTTCTTATTCTTCTTCTTCTTCTTCTTATTGTTATTATTGTTATTATTATTGTTATTAATAATATTATTATTAGTGTTATTATTATTGTTATTATTATTATTATTATTATTATTATTATTAGTATTATTAATATTATTAATATTATTATTATTACTGTTATTATTATGATAATTATTCTTATGCTAGTTTTATTATGATAATTATTATTATGGTTATTATTATTACTATTCGTATTACTATTATTATTATTATTAGTAGTAGTCGTAGTAGTAGTATTACTATGTTTCTTCGTCCTCTTCTACTTCGTCTTCTTGTTCTTCCTCCCCCTTCTCCTCCTCCTCCATCAGTCTGGTCCTAATTTTGCTGCTTTTCTTCCTTCTCCTCCTCCTTCCTTCTGGTCCTCGTTTTGCTGTTTTGTTTCCTCCTCGTCCTCCTCGTCCTCCTCGTCCTCCTCCTCCTCCTCCTCCTCCCTCCTTTTCCCGATCGTTTATATATATATATATATATATATATATATAATATATATATATTTATATATATATATATATATATACATATATATATATATATAGAATTGGGGACGTCTGTAGGGACCTGTCGGGCGCGGCCTGGCCGCCCCCTAGCAAACCATCCCCTCCCGTGACGTCATCCTCGCCTCCCGATTTGTCTTACAAGCTACGATGATACCTCATATTAAGCCCGCAGCGGGTGTCTGTGCCAAGGCGCTCGCGGACTGAATGGGTGCTCCAACTCGACGGCGGGCGAATGTGCAGCAGCACCGACCAATTCTTATAGTGCACCTTGGAACTCCGACACGGCACTTGAAGCCTCAACAACTTCCGGTGGCAGCCTGTTGTACATGAAAATCAAGCCAAGCAGCGAGTTTTCTATAATCAGCAGGACGAGAATTGGGCAAGACAAAATCGCTCGAATGCCCGTCTGAATACTCGATCAGCTATAGACGACGTCTCCCCGACCGGCTTGCCCCCGACTTCGTGTCCAGCTTGAATAACTGCTTGAAATGCCCTGGGTCTCTCCCAAGCACGGATCTGTGAATCAGTCCGAACATCGCAATGTCTCGCCTTGACGACAAAGGTGCCAGCTTGAAAGCCAAGAGTGCCTCTTCTTTGCTTGCCCTGGCTGCTTCGGTCAGCTTGTCCTGGACATGATCCAAGGCCTCCAACGCTGTTTTGCAGGTGTGGTAGATTGCAGCAGTCCGGTACTCTATGAAAGACAAAACCTGGGCTTTGCGCAGCAAGACCAGCTGGGCGCCAGCATTGTATTTACGAGTCTTCAAAATCGCCTTCAACTTCCACCTGCCATCCTTCGCCGACTGCAGCACCAAGTCGGTCATGGTGATCTGAAAAAAATGTGTGTTCGATTCCTTGTTTGCGTCGAAAGTCATTTGGTTCGCCTTATCCCACTGATGGAGCTCATATTGACAGGGGTCCATGTCGCTGAGAATAACGGCCTGTCGGGCAGCTCCCCCGTACACCCGGAAAGCGTTGAGGCCATCAGCAAAAACAATTTCAGTGCAGCATCAGCGTAAAACGCATTCCGCAACGTCGGGCCCCACACTGTGCCCTGGAACACCATATTGTCCAGCAGCATCTCGGTGGACTTACAGCCTTCTACCACAACTTGGGCTCTCGGGGCACCAAGCCACGATTTGAATAGCTGCAGAATTTCTGGCGGTGCCCCTCTCGCGGCCAATTCCCCTATAAATCTACCAACGAAGACCCTGTCGAAAGCAGCAGACACGTCGGACATGTATAATGCCACTTTCGCTTTTTCCTGGAAGGGTGTTAGCCAAGACAGAACAAGGAATACCAAGGCGTCCTGGGCGCCCTTGCCTCAACTGTACGCAAACTGATTGCGGCCAGTACTCGATTCAGACATGAATGTAGGGCAGAGTATTGGTTGCAGAAATCTCTCGATGACCTTGGCCAGCTGTGCCGTGAGGTGCACGCCCCGGCAGTTCTTGGGATCCAGTACTGCCTTTTTCACACACACACACGCACACACGCACACACGCACACACGCACACACACACACGCACACACGCACACACACACACACATGTGGCAACCATCCAGTGGGGGCCACAGCTTGTAGGCCACACCCATACGTACGTCTTGGGGCGAGGCGAAGGGGACGTCACGGAAGGGGAAGGATTGCTAGGCCCTGAGATCCGACGTTGCAAAACAAAATTGCAGCATCGCCAAGTCACCACCGGAGCCCCGGACCCCATCTTTCTGGACCACGAGCCGGATCGATCTGAGGGTCCCGGGGCCCGAAACTGGGCGAAAATGCCCGTTGTGAAAAAATGCAACGCCAGGATCTCAGGGTCCCCAGACCTCCGACGCCGTGACTTTTTCACAGCGTCGACCACCAAAGGTCTGGACCCCTTCCTGGGGACTGGATTTTTATATCCTGAATCGTTCTTGACGGTCCCGAGGCCCAACGAAGGCCCCTGGAGGCCGAAAACAACGAATAAGTTATTCGTTGTTTTCGGGATAACAACGAAAACAACAACAACGGGAGGTTATTCGGAAAAACCTCCCGTGGTGTTTTTTTCACAGCGCGAGGGGGTCGGTCAGGCCGCCCCTGGGCCCGCGCATCGCGGCTGCTGCCTCGGCGCGGCCCGGCGCGCGGCCCGGGGCCGTGGCCGCCACGCGGCCGCGGCCCCGTTGGGATCGGGCTCGGACCTCCGCGGGGCGATCGGCTCAGTCCGCGGGCGCTGCTGCTCCCGAGCCTGCCTCGGGCAGCGCGAAAGCTGCATGCCGCGGGGCGGCGAGGAGGCGGAAGGAATGGAGGAGTGAGGAGGAGGAGGAGGAGGAGGAGGAGGAGGAGGAGGAGGAGGAGGAGGAGGAGGAGGAGGAGGAGGAGGAGGAGGAGGAGGAGGAGGAGGAGGAGGAGGAGGAGGAGGAGGAGGAGGGATCAGTGAGGAGTGCGATTTGGGGCCTCAGAGGCCAGTGTCCGTCCACAGGAGAAGTTGGCCCTATGGGCTCGAGAGGTCTGGAGGGGCGCACATCTCGAAAGAATCGAGCCGCTGGACGTGTTGAGACGGGCGGAGGATTTACGGTCGGAAACTGTTGCTTAGCGTGTCGCGGCGGCGGCCCCGGCCGCACGCTATGCCTTGTAAGCGGATGGCGTGTCGCTCCGCCTCGCGGGGCGGAAGGCTGGGAAAGGCTCGGGACGTCAACACTTGGGGACTGGGACGTAATTAGCATGTCGCGCCGAAGCGCGGTGGGCCAGAACCGGCGGCGCGACACGCTACGCCAAAGTTCCTGACCGTAGGCCTCCGACGACGATTGCTGTGCTTTTTTCCATGTGGGGCTCCTGGGGCTCTCGACTTCCCCCCGTGGGCTAACTTCTGTGCAGTCGCGGGCCCGAAGCGGACCTCCAGAGGCCCACGTTTGGCGAGAAACAGCAGTTCTGGATCGTGCCACGACGCCAGGCACCTAAGCAATTGCTCAGGCGAGTTGCATCGCCTCCGCGCAACGATGCGGCCTACAGACCGCCGATGCGCCCACATGCGGTTCCAGGCCCTCCCTGGGGCCACGGGACCAGCAACATTGTGATGGGGCCGCCTGCTTCTGGAGGCCCTCGGAGCCAAGTTCCGCGGAAAGCTTCACGACGGCCATTTTCGGCTTGGTCCGGGAGTGGATTTGGCTCGAGGTGTAGAAAGATGGGGTCGAATGTTCCTGCCGTAATCTTACACATTGCGAGTGCTTGTGCGTGTGTGTGTGTGTGTGTGTGTGTGCGTCGCACGTACTCAAAGGGAGTCCTCAGAGGTCACCAACGAGCCCTAACGAGCCCTACGGAGCCTCTCGAGTTCTTGTGAGCTCGACGAGTGCACAGGCAGCACGTCGCAATTCGTACAAGTGGCCTTCCCAAGCTTCCTCAGAGGGATTGGGCGGCGGGCACAGAACTCTGGCAGAGTTATAAATATGATAGGCGGTGACCACAGCCTCAATTATGGATGGGCTGGGCGATCCGCCGAGGCCAAGACGACAGACTGCACAACTCGGAATCTCGGCCTGGGGCGGGTAAGCGATAGACCATAGAACATTACAGTCCAAATAGTGCGAGAATGTGTCAGGCGCAGCTATCAGAGGAGGCTCCCTGCACCGAAAGCGACACACGCCGACGCCAGTCTGTACGTGAAGGCGGCCCGATGTGAGCCAGGCGCCAGAGACCGTCTTTAGCATCGCACTCTGCCACGACGGCGCGAGGCGCGAAATCGCATCTCTCAGGCCGGCCCACCGCGCCTGGCACGACACCGCGTGGGAACCGCAGGCCCTGGGACACCCGACGCGACCTTCAACCTCGAGCCCCCACGCCTTCAGACGGCGCTGGATCAGGAGGTGGAGGAGGTCGGGATGGAGCGAGGCGTGCAAAGAGGAATACAATGTTTTCTGCGCACGCACTCGCACGCCCTGCTCGGCTGCTTCGCGGATGGCACGGTCGAGTGCCCTCCTCGCAGCGGCGGCTGGGCGCGCGAGCACACGATCATTCACGAAATCCTCCTGCGCGGAGGCAAGGAACTGTACGATCGGCCTGGTCTGCCAATACGGCGGGGACAATGTGCCGCTGCCAATGACCCACAGGCTCCCGTGGTCCAGGACCTGGCTCTGCAGCCATGCGTGCAGCTCCTTCCAGTTGCTCACCGTGGAGAGGGCAGTGCGCATGGCCGCCGCACAGCCCGTGGCCAGCATCGAGCGGATACGAAGGCCAGGCGCCCACGCACCCAGCGCCAGGAAGTCGTGCCTGCCCAGCGCCTGTGGGGGCATGCGCCACAACTTGGCGACCGCCCACCCCTCCTTGGCCAGCAGCATCTTCGGGGTGGCCGCCAGTTGTTGGAGATATCCCAAGACAGGCAAAACACGTCGATTATAAAGCCGAGCAGCCAGCGACGGGGCCGCACCGCTCATCGCGATGTCCACGACGCGGGAGAGCCACTTCGCCGCCGCCTTCCTCCAGATGTCCCGCTCCGTCGCGCCAGGGCCGACAGCGAAGCCCAGGTACTCCCCCTGGTCGCGCACCTGCATGCAGCACCACTCGCCCAGGGCGTCGGCCAGCCACCCTCTGAGATCTGCGACGAGCTCGTCCGTGAGCGTGCCCTCCAGCGGGATCAGCACGCACTTGTGGAGCTTCAGGTGCAAGCTGGCGAGCGCCCGAGCAGCAGCGAAGGCCCGCCACAGCCCACGGAGCAAGCGGCGCGACCGCAGCACCACTCCGACGTCGTCAGCACATACCCCGAGGGCGGAGAGGCGACTGGCATCGCGGTCAGTGTACTGCATCATGTGATGGATGAACGGGTTCATTGCAATAGCCCAGAGACTCCCAGAAGACGGACATCCCTGGGCGAGCCCGCAGGAGACGCAAACAAAATGCACCATCGCGCCCGCGAGCTCCACATACGCCGTGGGGAGCCAGTAGAGCGCCTCCAGCAAGTACCGAACGCCTCCCACGAATCCCGAGTGGATCAGCATGAGCAGCATCCATTCGGTCATCAGCGAAGGGAACGCGTCGCCAAAGTCGAACAGAGCCATGATGGGCTTGCTCGACTCCTGCAGCCCCGCGGCGCGCGCGGTGGCGTCCAGCAGGCAGATGTTGTCCAGGAAGTTGCGGCCCTGCAGGAAGCCCCGCTGGGGGGCAGGCGAAGCCTTTTCTATGGGCCCCTTGATCCGCGCATTCACCGCCGAGGCCACCAGCTTGCAGTCCGCATTCTTGAGCGCAATCGCCCGCGTGGTGCAAGGCGTGCGAAATGCGCCTTCCACGAGATCCTCCTCGTACGAGCCCTTCGGGAGGAAGGCGAGCAGGTGGTCGTTCCAGTCGACGGGCGGAGGCCTGCCAGACGCTATCTCCAGGACCACGTCCTCCAGCGCCGCCAGCGCCGCAGGGCATGCACGCCAGGCTGCATACGGCAGGCCGTCGGGCCCAGGCGCCGACTCCTTCGCTCGAGCAGCAGCGCGCAACAGCGCCTGCCGATCAGGGGGGAGCAGGCCGGCCACCTCCAGCTGCGGCGCGTGCTCTGTGATGTACTTGCTCGCTATGACCTGCCAGTCGGGAACCTTCGGCTTGACCTGGAAGATCGGGGCCCAGTGGTTGCGGAGGGCCTCGACCATGTCGACCTGGTCCGTGAGCACCTTGTGTCCCTCGTCGTCGGGCACCTTGATGCCCTGCAACTTGAGCGTGCGATTGAAGGGCGACCACAAAGCTTCCCGCCTGCGCATCTTGCGCCGGGCAGCATTCACCATCTTGAACGATGTGGAGTCGAACGCCTTCGCCTCCTGCTCCGAGAGGGCGGCCGCTCGAGCCTCGAAGTGCATGCGCTGGGCCTCGGCGAAGTCCCTAGCGAACGACGGCGGATCGATCAGCGAGACCTGGACGCTAGTGACCGAGATGTACCTCGGCGCGATCTCGCACGTCAGGAGGAGCCTCTGTCCCAACTCGACATCGTCTCGCCAGACCGCTCGAGACATCGAGCGAAAGACCATCAGCTTCGTCTCGCCTTTCGGGTTGCGGCAGCGCAGATCCCTCACATACTTCGCGGCCTCCTTCATCAGCTCCTTGTGCCGACGCCGCGTCGCATACACCCCGAGCTTGGACCAATCGACGAGCACGCGCAGCCTCTCGTACTGAGCAGCGTACTCAGGATCCTTGAAGAAGTGGGAGGGGATCCTCTGCTCCTCGGCGGGCGCTACCTGACGGGCCGAGACCGAGATCACGACGGGCACATGGTCGCTTATGCCTCTCTCGTGCAGGTCCTCTGGCTTATCCTCAGTAAGCGCCGAGAAGTGCTGCTGCAGGGCGGCCCAGCTCGGCATCGATACGAACACGCGATCGATCTGGGTGAGCTTGGGCTGCCACTCATTAGTGACGTAATGTGTGGGCAGCTCATTGTCCAGCTCCATCAGGCGGC